CAGCACGGTAACGTCAACATACAGCATAGTGTTACTCTTATTACAGCACTGGCAACGTCAACATACAGCATAGCATCACGCTTATTACAGCACGGTGACGTCAAAATACAGCATAGTGTTACTTTTATTACAGCACGGTAACGTCAACATACATCATAGTGTTACTCTTATTACAGCACGGTAATGTCAACATACAGCATATTGTTACTCTTATTACAGCACGGTAACGTCAACATACAGCATTGTGTTACTCTTATTACAGCGCGGTAACGTTAACAAACAGCATAGCATCACGCTTATTACAGCACGGTAACGTCAACATACGACATAGTGTTACTCTTATTACAGCACAGTAACATCAACATACACTACAGTGTCATTCTCATTACAGCATAACACGGTCAACATACAGCATAGTATCACTCTTATTACATTGTTATATTATCCCAAACCTGGGGGTGATTGCAAAAAACGATGTGTTGCCCTATTCACAATCACCTCGGAAACATCAATACCATTTATCTGACAAATGTCATGCAATCTATTATGACTTTGATTAATGTATCGAGTACCACGCGTAAAAGAAGATTGCGCGCGCTCTCGAACACCTATCACTATTGTCAATGAATGACTTCCTGGCCATGGCCACAGTCCCTCTATATAGAGCACAGTCAGCCCCCAAGTGACTGTGATATAGAGGCGCATCGCACTTGTGTTGGTAAATATTTCCCAATAATCATGTTCTCGATTTGTTTCGATCTAGATATTGTTGCATCTTACAGTGGAAGCGTCGTGCACTCAGGCTGGTGAGTTTTATGAGAGGTGATATTATGACTAGTTGACAGTGGCGACGGCATGGGAAGGGGGCAGTCACTCCCTCGAAAAAAGTATTGGGGGGCACCGCCTCTCCAAAATAAAGCTGAAACCCTTCGTGTCAGCAACATTTGCCACTCAAAATGCAGGATATAGCGTTTCAGAGGGTCTAGATTTCGAAATTTTCAAAATAATTTCAAAAATCCGTTGTACAATTGTTTTATCGGCTGTAAAGGCCGTACAAAGCGACGACGTTGTTTTGATCTGTCAGAACAACAGTACTGTTGAACGACAACACAAATAAAGGCTCCGGGTCGCGACAATCTTGTAATGAAGATGTTTGAACACAGCTGCATGGACACACACTGGTCTTTAATGCTTGTATTCAATAACGTACATGTACTTTCTAATTATAACTTCCCAGAAATCACCATCTTGTCATTATATAGAAAGGGTGGTCATTCTAAAATGAATGGTGTTCTTCTATCAGTATCGAGTAAAATATTCATCATAATTCCAAATTCACGTCTGGACGTCGAGAAAATAATATTTTTTTAAGAGGCGGTATTTATAGTGGGTGAAAGTGGCAGCAATTCCTGACTCTAAGCTAATGAACTATTTAACAAAAACAAATATTTTACTGCATTTTCATTGATTTCCGCAAAAGTGTTTTCCGTGATCAAAATAATCAAATATGGTTTATATGGCAACTTCTTGTCGGTTATCCGACAGTAACCGTTCAACATGTGTCCGATATTCTACGTGATTATGTGTATTGGGACATATTAAAGTTGTATACTTAGCCCTATATGTTATTAGCTGTATTTATAAATGATTTTCCTTCGCATATATACTAGTACGGTTGAATGTGATGAGTGTCAGTACGGAGAACGATGTTCAAATGTACGCTGGTGATGTAGTCGAAATCAAATCACTTTTTTGCGAAATCAATAAAAATGCAATAAAATCAGACTGTTGTTGTTAAATAGTTCACTAGCTTGGGTTGAGGAATTGCTGCCACTTTCCCATCATGTTGTACTTTTATAATGTTCTGGAATGTTATGCTAAACTGTAGATTGCTGTATACAGGATTGGTTAATTCAACTAGTGTGCTTTAGTATTTTATCCTCGGGGCGGACATCCGGGTATTTTCACCGCCTGGCAACCAGCGGCGGTGAAAACAAAGGCCCAAAACTCGCAGAAAACGGTACTTTGGGATGATTGTTGAGACTCCTCTGAACAGTGTAACAAGATTAGCCCTACGTGTGTAACATATATAAATTTGGTTGTTCGGGATTACTTCAAAGTTGAGTTTGTGTTGTTTTCTCGAATTTTCACCGGCTCGACCGGCGTTCCACAGCAGCGCGCACAGAGCCCATAGAAATGCATGTACAGTAGTACGCGTCTTAGCAACGTGGAACGTCTCATGACGTAGCCCCGCCCCCGAGGATATACTGTCCGGTGATAATCATGCTGTACTCAGTTGATTATTGGTCAGTTTAGGGTAGAAGCCTAGTTATCATTTTTGGAAAAAAATTGGTTATAAATCGCATGACAATATTCATTGGTTTATTATGTAAAATCATGAAGCTATTGTCCCATGGCACTAAAGTAAAGGCAGAGTCTTACCTTTATTAAGCTGTCTCTTGGTGAGATGATACACACGTTGAGAATGGATATCTAAATGAAACTAGCGAAGGAACGGTAGCTGAAGCTTGCGTTATTTCTCTAGGTTCCGATCAGACTACCGAAGTTCCCGGATGTTGGAGAATGGGAACTTCGGTACCAGTCGGGATCCTTCGGCGATACGTAAATCACATAG